ACTACTCTGATCTGTAGATTCGGCTGACTGCCTTGGTTTCTCCGGGCAATTCCAAGCGAATGCCGGAGCAGTACACAGCTTCCCTTTACTTGTCACATCCTCGCCCCCTTACTTACACATATTACACCCACCACAGTTGTCGGGAGCTCAGTGCTTGTTCCGGATGTGGTGGTGCCCTCCTAGTGGGGGATAACTGGTTGGGGACAACTGGTTGGAGACACCCCGCTAGCTGAAAGGGTTGATCGGCGTCAGATCTCACTATCCAGAGGGGAACGATCACCGCCTCCTTACGAGGAAAATGCACTCTACTTAAGGGACTAATTACCTTAACACTAGAGGTATCGCCAGGTATCGGTAATCAATCAAATCCGCTCCTTAACAGTCTCCCTTTGTTAACCTCCTCTCTTCCCCCTCTATTGTTTCCCTTGCCCTCTTTCCTTCTCGTTTCATCTCTCCCCTTCTTCCCTCCCTTTCCCCCTCTCCTCCTTTCTTACCTCCTTCCTCTCCTTTTCTCTCTTCTCGCTCTCATTTTCCCTCTCCTTTTTTTGGTGCCTCTGTTCGCTCTGTCGACGCCTCTGTGCTCACTCCCGATTCCTCTTTCCGACTCCTTTTACTTGCCCTCTCGTTTACTTTCTCACTCTATTTCCCTGTCTTCCTATCTTTCTGTCCCCTCCTTTGTTTCACTCCTGACTTTCTTTACTTCCCCACTCTCTTTTTCTTCCTTTCTCTCCCTGGCACTTTCTCCTCCTAGTCCTCTGCTCCCTCTGCCCTTCTCCCTTTCGTATTTCTTTCTCTTCCGCTCCATATGACTCCAACAATCTCTCTCATTCTCCCGTATCGGTTTCCTTTCAATTTTCTCGCCTTCTCTTGCTTCTTGCTTCTCTATCCCCATCTCTCTCAAACACACAGACGCACCTCGCATACGTCTCGCATACGCTTTGTTTAATCATGTATGTTCTGGTGAGCCAGAGCTCATAACGAAATAAGAATTTCTTTTTGGTTTCTGACACATAACCCTATTAAATGCAGTTATTGACATATATGAAGTGCTTTACATACGTGGCGCCTTGACGCAACACAAAAACTTGCGACATTCGCGGCCCATTTGCCTGTAATAGAATATGAGCGAAGAGGTTGGTGGAGCCAGATGCCGTAATGAAGAATGGTAACTGAACACACGACTAGTAATAATGATCGAGAACATACACATCTTGCTGGATGAAGAGATAATATAGAAAGGGTGTATGCTGGAAAAGTTTCGAGAGAATGACAGACACTGATGTAAGTAAAATTCGTACAATGGAATTGATTTTCTGACGTGTTTATACAATCAGAATCTTTTTTGCTCAAAAATTGCTAGTGGAGTCTGCTTTTCCTTGACTTTTGTGAACACGATAATTGAAAGTGGTTATTATGTAGGATTATTGATTTTTTTTTCAAACTCCGATGGGCTATAAGAAAAAGACAAGAGTAACGAAAAAATGAATTTGTTACCAAAAGTTATATACAAACATTTTATACAGATCATTTTTACATAATCGCCGTGAAGATTCAGGCATTTGCCTTTTTTGAGAACTAGCTTTTCGATCCCCTCCTCGTCCAACATTGCCGCCACAAAAGGGAGCTGAACTTTACTTTGAAGCTCCTCATTGGTCTGGAAGCTTTAGCCTCCTAGCCAATTCTTCAATTTGAGGAAGAAATGAAAATCATTTGCCGTTAAGTCCGGCTACACGCCGAATGATTAAGCAAGACCCATACGCTCCAGATATTTTGTGGTTACAGCAACTCTGAAAGGGTCATCGTTTTCATGAATGAGGGCATTTTCATTAAGTCAGGATTCCTCATTTGTGTGAAAGTTTACACTGTACATTAGGCTCATTCCTTTGTGAATTTATGCTGAATTATTCCCTTCTTCTTGAAGAAAGAGAATAGCACTACGCATCTCGCACTTGGCAGCTGCGTCAATCATATCACTGTTCGGCTGATATGGCGACGATATGGCGTCCGAATTGACAGAGGTTACTGTAAAAAAAGATACGCAGTCGCCCACTGCACACCCACAAATCCTACTACTGTAGCGGTTTAAAGGCTCGATAGGATGATGAAAAAATGGTATTTTTAAAGTAAAGGAAGAGTACACAATACCATCACGACTAAAGGATAAATGACATCCTGTTAGAGGAAAGCAAAGGCGATCAAATTATTATGCCCCATGAATATTTGGGGAAGCAAATTCATTCATTCTAATGAAAAGACGTTTGATAGAGACAGTGATATTTCTGGCACTACTTCAAAAATACATTCTCAATAAAACATCTATCCTTATATTTTGCCTTTAGGCTAAAAATATACTTCCAAGTAAAATTTCGTTGCATTATATTTAAAATAACATTAATTGCTTTTGATTTGGGAAATAACTTAAATAACGAAACAAAAATACTCATAATTCATAAAATAATTAATTCGTCGATAAATTAACTCGTAAATTACTAGGCGAATCTCTTTATTATTGTCGAATGTAAGTTAAGAGCTCTCATGCTTATTACAAGTTCCCTCGAAAGTACAATTCTGGAAGGGACGTTCCTCAAACATGTCAATAATTTCCTCAGCACGAGATGTTACGTCTCGTTTTAAGAGAAGAAATGAAATAATGACTCATGCGGCACTACTTGAGTACTTACTGCTATTTAGATGTCTGCTCTATTTCAAACAATGTGTTCCTGGAAACGTGCTAGAAATACCAGAACATAGCAAGCGTCTTCAACAATTTGTCATCTAAAAATTTTTATACATTAAGTTATTATACATTACGGCACTAGACTTTATTCACGTAGATCCACTTTTATCGTACTGTACAGTACATATGGTGATTTTATTAACACAATGCAACGATTGCAACGATGCAACGGTTTACATAACTTAAGTTACACTTTGTTGAATGTACATTTTTCCAGTTCAGATATAACAGAATATAGGTTATATAAAGCTAAATCTAATTATATACAGCTATAAAGCTAATCAAGTAAATTAATAAAAGACGTAAAAGTTGGGGAAGTATAATTAAGCCTGTTTCAGTTGGCAACGCCACGCGCATTGCATACACGATGTGACAACCCTGGCGAGAGCTGGTGTTTAGCCTTCGAGCGCTAGAATACACAATGGAGATCAAAAGTCAACGGGAGGGCTCCAATGTGGTCGATATTAGCACAGTAATGCAGTGCAATTTTGATAATTCCGGCACTCTCCTCTACACTAGGGTTACGTTCCCATTTCACTTGCATTTTGCTGTCTTTCAGTATATCCTTTGCGATCAAAATCATAGCAGCACTATTTTTCACGCACTTGATCGGAATTTATGTTTTCATTATGTACTACACCAAACACGTCTCACTATAATACATTTCCTTCACTAGTATTTGCAGTGTAAATTGAAATTTAGGATAGAACATAATAAACATTTCATTTTCCCACACCTATTTCCATGATTGATTGTTTCTGTACGACCTAAACTCCATAGCATACGAAAGTAATTTGGAAATTTCCTAAATGTATCGTAATGTCAAAGCTCCAACAACAGCAAAACAATTGTCACGGAACAAGTTGCCCAACAAAACCTATCATTAAGAACTACGGTGGATCGAAATCACAGTTCTAACGAAACTTTTCCAGGTGCTCGCTTCGCAATATCAAAATTCAATATAGGAATATTGTAATGAAGTATTGTATTTTTATAGGGCACATACTTTTTACGTACTAAGAAATGAGTATTTGCTTTCTATCTTCATTCTCTTCTGAGTGTTGCACTAAAATAACTTTACGTGGTTCCAGTCTCTTCATTCGCAAATCCATCTCTTGCTCTGTGTACTTGTATGAATAAAATTTTCACGTAGATCACGAAAGTACATGGGCCTAAACTTGTAAACATCCAGCTGTACCCCCTACCTATCCTGTTGATACAGAACCTCTGATAGGGAAGTCCTACGATTGTAGTCCTGACGATGGCAGAATTTTCGACACTAGCTGCATAGCTGCATTGGGTTCAGTCGGTGTCTGGAGGAGAATTCCAGACAGCAGTTGAATTCCAGGTGAATACAGAAGCAGAACCCGAACAAATGGACCACGGACTTCTCGCAATCTTTCCTTCCTCTTCTTTGCCCTATCGTAACTTACACACACATACATGCAATACATGCAGCGACTAGTCGGGAATATCAGAACATCTCCCGGCTGATACGGTGCCCCGCTGATGGGAGGTACCTAGTTGAGGAAAAACGCAATCCAGCGTGAATGTCGCTGCAGGATCTCATCATCCAAAGGGGTAAAGATCACCACCACCTTCCGCGTTTAATACATGTTCTATTCTTATGGGTCTAATGACCTTAGCAGATGATGCGCTCGGAATCAGCATTCAATCAATGAAGCAAGCAACCTCATAAGGAGATTAGTAGGAAGCTTACAGATCGCCCCATTTAGAGCGTTGTCTGGCGATACTTGGAGCGGAAAATCCCCTAAAGCCGACATGCAGATCGTTGCCGGATCTCAGCACCCAGCGGAGGACGATCACTGCCACTTCGATTGATAAAAACATACCCTACACTCACGGGACTATGTCGAATCGAGGTAGCCGGCAAGGAAGCGCGTCCCTGAGTCCGTGTCCCTTTTCCCCGAGCGACGGGCAGGCCTCGCGGGCGGCGGCGCCGGCCGGCGAGGCCCCGCCCCGTGTGGTGCCGGCTCTACCCGCAGCGCACCCACTGTCGCAGGAGCTGGACCGCGTGCAGGAGCGCGCGGAGAAGGCGGCGGCGGAGCTGCGGCGCGCGCAGGCCGAGCTGCGCGTCACGCAGGCGGACAACGAACGCGCGCGCGCGGAGGCCGCTGCGCTGCAGGAGAAGGTGGAGAAATCACAGGTGAGACGCAGACTATAAGCTAAATGTTCAGGCTAAATGTTCAGGCTAAATGTTCAGGCTAAATGTTCAGGCTAAATGTTCGGGCTAAATGTTCAGGCTAAATGTTCAAGCCTAATGTGCAGGCTAAATGTTCAAGCCAAATGTTCAGGCTAAATGTTCTGCAAAGGGATTGGGTCTGCAAAGAGGTTGAAGATGAATGATCCTTCGAAATATCTTATATTTTTTTCACGTTAACTTAACGTGATCCATTGTGGACGTCTAGATCGCTAAAATAGTAATGTAATTATTTCATAACGCAATAAGTTACTAATCAGCAATTTATCATAGGTAATACCACGAGTGCTTTCGAAATTGTCAATACGCGTCCGACTCGCGAAGCGAGCAGGTAATTTATCTGAGAATTTCCAAAGCACTAGTGGTATTTAATATATCCACTCCGCGGAATTATGCCCAACAGAGTTCCGAAATGTGTCAAATATTTATATTATATCAATGAACTTTATTCAATTACCTTTCACATTTCTCTTGTTCTACCATGACCTTCTGCTAATGTAGCAGATGGGCAAGATTAATCCGTGCGGTCGATTCGTAATCAAAATTGAGATAAATGAATATACAGACGATAATATGAAATGTATATTTATCTTGCTTTAAAGTAACAAACTTTAATGTAACAAACATTAACATTTAACGTAACAAACATATATTCTTTCAGTGGAAAATACATTTATTAAACACCCACTTGTTAAAATTAAATGTTGAAGGAACTCCTTTATTTTGATTCACAATTGTGTCAGATTCCTAAACAGATGTGTTTGATGATGAATATGACTTAATTTATTTATGATTACTTAATGGTTTTGGTCATTGATTTTCTGGTAGGGCTTCAGTGACGATGTAGTAGCAGCGTCTTCTATATTATTTCAGTGGTACACATACCTTTTGCGGATCTCACACGCAACCAATCTTTATAAATGAGGTCGCTAAAAAAAGAGAATTTCACGGAGACGTAACGAATTGCTCTTTGACTTAAAAAAAATATGAAGGACTTGTTTAAAAAACATATATAAATATTCATGTCAAATTCTTCCAATTTCTATTCTTCTTCGAGTTTTCTGGAGCTTCACGATTATTATTTCATCAATCTCGCCATGTTATTACTATTGAAAATAACTGAAAGCGATGTTAAAATCAAAGAGGTTATATTATACATACGTGGTTTATTGCACAGCAGTTGATACATACCGCCTCTTAATATACATGAGTTGTAGCTTATGATTGGCTAATAGGAAGGAGAGGAAAGAAAAATCCGATAGAAAAGCTTGAATGTAGTTTTTGAGATGTACCGCCCCGATTGTGACATATAGTTAAAAACTATTGGTTTTAATTTCACGTGTGTCATAGTGACTAAATATTTTTAAATATGAAAGTTTTATTTCAAATACTTATATTTTTAATAATCATAAGTTTATCCATATATATTTAATAATTTAAACTTTTAATCATTTTAGCATTATTGAGTAGTATATTGTATTCTTATCGCATTATTTCAGTTCTGAATATTTTCACAATAGTGCACTAGAGATTAGCTTAACATGAGAAAATAAAATAGTTTTGTAAAGCTGACAACATACACATGGATCTAGAAGGGCATTTTCTAAAAAAATATATATTCGTTAGGCCTATTCATGAATTCATCAATTTGGCAGGTGGTAGAACATTTTACATAATGTAACACATGTAGAATTTTGAATATTGCGCCCAGACTGATAGGCACCCCACTTTTCACTGACATTTGGTACGTATTCGAAATACAGTTTTGACGTCTGTAGGTGTTTTGAATACATATGTAATTGATTATTAGTAGGGCAGGGCATAAACAAAGCGGAAGTATATTTTATACACAACTGCCTTTAACTTATACACACTTCTTATGAGGGAAGAGAATTTTAAAATGTGGATCTAAAATGATTTTAGTAAATTTGCTTTATGATTATGAATTCAATAATACGTCCATCAGAGGTTCCACTTTGTGGTGTTAGATTAACCCCTTACGCAACGTCGTTTATCCTCTTGATGATCTAAGCATGAAATTTTACGAATCTGAAAACTTTTTTTTAATTTTAAATTATTAGAACTCAAGTGATTATAATAATCACTGACCATAAATAACAATTTTTAGCAGTTTCATAATAAGTATTAATGTTTTAAAAATCCATGGGGTTCTACTCGTGAATGTATAATGTTGCGACCAGATTTAAAATGTGGTGAACATGTCAGTAAGAAAACACAAGGGTAAACAGTAGGTGCAATCAAGGTACACTGGTACAGTACTCTATAAAGTGGAAAAATAGTATAAATATACAGAAGAAACAGCAACAGTTAGTCACTTGGGTACATGTAACCCTGGATTGTAAGGTACAACATAAGCAACGCAATGTAAATATAATGTGCAAAAGGAATATATCACTAGCAACAAGAGTCTCTCATTCTTGGCCGATATAGTTTAATTTTTGCACAAGCTTGAGTACACCGAAATTCTTCCAAAACGTAAGATATTTATATAGAAACATTTTCTCACTGTACTCGATTGGTGATCAAACTCGGCGTAATTGTCTTACATTACTTTCCAGTCTTGTATTTCAATATGATGTTTTAGGATAATATTCAATTTTCAATTACAATAATAGCTAATATATTAGGATTGGGATATATTAAGATACAGATAATATTCAGTTTCAAATTAGGATAATAATATATTAGCACGAGGGTGTATTAGGATATTGATATTGTTAGAATATATTAGAATTAACTAGGATATATTAGGATAAATTAGGAAATGTTAGGATTATAGATGATATTCAATGTTCAATTAGGATAACAGCTACTACGAACAACGCGTATCGACTGCACTGTTGGATGGTTTCCAACGTTGTTCCCTTCTCCTTGAGCCTCCGAGCGCGCTTGCGTCGCGCCGTCTGTTCGCGCAGGCAAACTGCGTCAGATTGTCAGGTGCTCCTGCGGTTTTACGGGTAATTTCGTTATTGTGCCGAACATTCGCGGCGCGCCAGTAATTTGTTTCCGGAATGTCGATTGTTTGGGATTTGAAACTCGAGATCGATGCGTTGAAATGCCTCCCCCTTTCAATTCACTAGGAACGTAACTCTTCAGAACGGCGGAGTTAAAGATTTATTTCTTTCATTTATCTTCGTTTAATGGAAAGCTTGACAATGGCTCTTTATCGGTGACAAAAGAAATAGAAAAGACTTAATTATGTTTCAGCTCAATACTGGAGGTGTCAATAAAAAGTGGAGTTTCTTTTATTAAAACAAATGATGAACACATAAAATTACTTATATAACCCTTAAGGAAAGCTTTTAAACTGCCATTTTACAAATTATTTCGATAGAGATGATATTAAATTAAAATAAAAACTTGTACTTAACGCTATATAAAAGAGGTTTTAATTACAATGCGTAAATGTTCGACCTGGACGTTTTAAGCATATTTTAATGCTTTCGAGTAACTATAACAGTGTAAAACTCACTGTAATGACTAAATGAACAATAGATGACGGTTATGTGTATATTTACAAGATCCACGAAATTCCCAGTGTTGTAATCAAATCATTAAGTAACTTTATCTCCGTGCAACTTACGACTTTTGAACAAAAAATTATAGTTTTTGAAATTTTAAACGTAACTTCACAAATAGTACTTTACAATCTTACAGAATCACTTTGTCTATTTCTTTTCCGGCATTGCATGACATGAACAATCGTTATTATTATTTATAATATTTAGAGAATCCTCTGTCCTCTTTCTCGCAAGAACCTTCACGTCACGGAAAATTTCAAAACAAAAACGCCATTTGCGTCTATCCCTAATTGATTTGTGTTCATAAACACCACTTTAATTGTGCGCAACAACCTTAATAGTACTTGGAGAATATCTACCAACACAATCCGGATTAGTAATTGAAATTTTTGAACTTATAGGTAGTTGAGTGACCTCTTACTTTTTTAAGCCCAAATAAATCCAAATTCTTTGACTTTTTTATATTTGTTTGGAACGAAAAACCTTTTTTAACTTTTATTTAGTACTGAATGATTACTTTCCACATTGTAAAGTGAATAATTCGAATTTCGTCATATGACCAACTTGTTTTATTTAGCAGTAATAAAGATTTTAAAATATTGAAAAGAAAATTATATAATTACATAATGTATTAGAAACAAATAATGTTTTTTCTTGTTTGAAATTATTGTGTTGTAAGTCTAACACTCACCACTATCTGCGAGCGTTACAGTTGCTGCGGAAGCGCCCGACCAGTTAATATATTATTAACATATTATTTCGGTGTTTGGGTGTTGTTTGTTTTACTGTGAAAAAGTACCACTGATAATACTTCAAATTTCCGTTACTTCATGCGAAATCGATCCATAAAAATATACCCGGGGAAAATAATGTAAAGAAAAGAAATCCACGAAAGTTTTGTTTTGATAACGAGCTATAACAAGTCATCCCACTGCTTGTAGTTCGTGAGTCACCGGTTACAGCACCAGCTGTTGGTTCATCTGAGTCTTATCTCTATGAGCTGCGCGAGTGACGGGCTGGGGATTGGATACTTATTTTCTCCTGTTTTATGTAACACACAACTGGCATAACATTTTACAATAAGATAACATTCCGATTGGTTATTTATTGCTATAAAAGTAGTGGACAACTAAAAGCTAATAAGAAAACCAAATTCAGTGAGACAAACCAATCCTGTCAGTGTTTTCATGTAAAGCGTTCATATATTTTGGTGAAGAACTTTCGAACAATTTGTTTCAAATTACAACTGATAAAAAAATACCGCGTGTGGTCAGAAATATTCGTAAAATGCGAAGAGCTAGTAAGCTGAAAAAGCAATTTGCGAAGGTATAAACGAAACAGCTTCTTCTGAAGTAAAAGGGAACGGAAAGCAAATGGAAGAGACAAAATTGATTACTTGTCATAGACGTCAATTTGTATAATGGAAACACGATTTCTATCGATAAATTGACTTGAGGAAAAGGCAAACAACTTGTGTTGAAGGGCAAATATTCAGTATCTACAGAGTGAAGTTTAGTGAATTAATTTGTTTGTCTTGTATATATACAAGAATAGTTAATAATAATAGTAATAATATAGTAAAATAACTAATAGTAATAATAATAATTAATAGTAATATAATAATAGTAATAATAATAATAGTAATAATAATAAAAATAATAATAATAAATAATAATAATAATAATAAAATAATAATAATAATAATAATAATAATAATACCTTTATTAACGGCGAGGCTCAGGCCATAGGGCCCACTCTTCCGCCTAACCACTGAATTTATATACATACAGAGTAGTTACATTTTAAGAGGGGGAGGACAAGCTTTACTTTTACGTCTGGAGGTCAAAACTAGACCATCCCGGCACATGCCTTAAGCGATTGAGTATATCCATAAAACCTTAATCAGGATGGCGGCTGATTCATCTGAATGATTAATCTATTTCACGTGAATGATTTTGAATTCAGTCTGCTTCTTACCATTAATACAATAGGTGCCCGAGCGTGCAATTATTGCTTTAATAGTACTCTTCACTTTCCTCTCTCTCCGTAGAAGACTTCATAAAGTATTATGATCTCGCCACATGTCTGTATATTTATTTAAAATAAAATAATAGTTGAAGTAAGGGTCGATATCTAGTTAATTTCCACAAAACAAGGCTGTCTGACTTTCCTCAAACTTTTATAAGTCTCAGGTGGAGTTGGTTGTACCTAGGATTATGTAGAGCTTTCAGTTTGAGTGTGGAGTAATTCTGGTGGTCATTTGATGAAGGCTACGGTTCGCTTAGGTAGTAACCAGTGAATGGAATGTTGAAACTTTCTGCCATAAATCCACAGGGATGCAGTTAATTATTTTGGCAGATGTGTGGCATCTTCCCACTAAACTTCGCAACGGGTGTAGTAATTTATGTTGGTCGCGGTTAAAGTTCAACGTCTTACAACGTTTATTACTTTGTCACTAAAATACTCGTATATTTGCAGTTTTGGTATGTTCTACGACGTCTACCATGATCTTTTTATTGACACATTTAAAAAAAATTTCACCCTTTCATGACCCATGATACATTTAATAAGATAAAAATAAGATGTTTTGTTGGCTTTTACATTCCATCCATCATCATCAAGGGATCGTTGCTCCTGTGCGAACAACAACGTTTCTCTTTTTTATCTTTAAGAGAATAGTTTAATTGTCTAAGATTTCGACAGTATCGTTTTATGACCTGGACATGAGCTAAATTGTTCATATTTTCCATGTAATAACACTTTAACTCGTAGAATTGTTTAAATAACAATCAAGCTGTGGGAATTCTCATATGAATCCACTGTTTAGTACCAGGCGAGTTTATTGGTGCATTCCCTTACCTAATTTTATGTTTGATAGCTTTTACGATCTGTATTTAGTCAGTGAAGAAAGTGAGTGGACGTTTGGGGCATTCTCTCTGTGCAGTGGGAATGAACGTTAATGAAATACAATAAACTTCAGAACAAAATGTTTCTTCATTTCTTTTCACAGGAATTATTTCACAACACAAATGCAAATGTGAAAATGTCTGCGAAATCGGTCGAGTAATTTTTGTGTGTATATGCGACAGATACATGCACATTACCTTTTATTTATATATTGATTAGTGGACTCGGTAATGCTTCGCTATTGCAGAGTTTTACACTTCACACTCTACTGATCACCTGATTGTTAATCACGTTTTACTCTAAGCTCAGCAAACATACTTATTGAAATATTTTCTCGCGAGTATGGGTTTGATGTATGTCCTGATTTCTAGGTCGAGTTAAGGCCCTGCCTGGAAAATTCTAGCGGCCGGCTGCTCTGATCGGTAGTTTTCGGTTTTTTCCGATCAACACCAGGCGTATGCCGGAGCAATACCCAAACAAACGGGCCACTGACCACGTGCGATATTTTCTTCCTCTTCCTTGTCCTATCCCCACCCCATCCTTAGACACATTTACACTTACATTCACTACACTACCACACATGCTGGGAGACCGGTCGGGAGCTTGTCTCGGCTGGAGCGGTGCCTCACTGGTGATTTCTCAATGGGGAAAACCGCGCTAGGCGACGGTAGGATGGCGTCGGATGTCACCATCTAGTGAGAAAAGATCACCGCCAGCTCCTGGGGAAAAACGCGTACTACACATACGGGAATTATTTCCTTAGCCGTTGACGCGCCTGGAATCACTAATCAATCAATTAATCGATCAGTCATTCAGTTGAATAAAATTCAGCCCCGGTTGCAGCGAGAGAGTGGCGCGTAAGAGTGGCGCGTAAGAGTGGCGCGTAAGAGTGGCGCGTAAGAGTTGGCGCGTAAGAGTGGCGCGTAAGAGTGGCGCGTAAGAGCGCAAGCAGTGCCGCGCGTAAGCAGCGAAGCGAACCGAGCGCGCTAAGAAGCGAGCGCGTAAGAGCGAGCGCGTAAGAGCGAGCGCGTCAAGAAGAGAGCGCGTAAGAGCGAGCAGAGTAGGCGGGCAGTAAGAGCGGAGCGCGTAAGAGCGAGCGCGTAAGAGCGAGCGCGTAAGAGCGAGCGCGTAAGAGCGAGCGCGTGTCCGCAGGGCGAGGTGTACCGGCTGAAGGCGCGCCTGGAGAACGCTCAGGCGGAGCGCGAGAGCTTGCGCGACGAGCTGGAGCGCGCGCAGGCCGGCGCCGGGCGGCTGCACGCGGAGCGCGACAAGGCCGTGTCGGAGCTGGAGAAGGCCCAGGAGGAGCTGGAGCGGTCGCAGGCCACGCTGGGCAAGGCGCAGCTGCAGCAGGACAAGCTGCAGGCGGCGCTGGACAAGGCGCAGAGCGACGTCGACAAGCTGCAGGAGCGCTTCGACAAGGGGCAGGCCGAGCTGCGACGGGTAAGTTGCGGGGCGCGCTTTTGGCTTTCTAATTTCTAAAGTTATCACAGTCTTCTTATTGAATTTTAATGATTATATATTGTATGATTATATATATATGATTATATATATATATATATATATATATATATATATATATATATATATATATATATATATGGTAAAAATGTGGAATTAGGGTAATTTAGTATTCACCTGATTTCTCTAATTGACATTTTACTCACGGTAATTTGACTGAATTATTAAATATATAAGTATATATAGGTCTTTTTTATCTAATTACATTTTTGCTTTTTAATTTGATCTTATATTTGAAAGGCTCGGGAATAAAAGATGGTATCCCACAAGGTTATATTTTTTTGGTGATACTATCATTTTCTTACTCTTCAGTCTGTTGTCCATGTAGTGTGATTCTCAAATAATCCACATTATGACGCATGATTGTCCCCCGGTTCTTGTCATCTTTATGAGCCGCATTTAAACCCCTTACAACAGTGTATGTCAAGATCTTCTACTGTGGCGTGCTCAGTGTCACCGTGACCTGCCACGAGCTTCTGATAGCAATTAGCGTCGGGAAAGAAAACTGTCTGTAGTACCCCTACCGTTTTCCAACTTGGTGGAATAGCATGTAAACAAGAGAATATTAACAGAAAAATAAAAGTAAAAATACAAATAAAAGATAAGGAACTTTTTTGTGATATTCGGGTGATTTCGTCCAGCTACCCGTGCCACGAACTCCTGTAGGGTGGCATCGACATTGACAGCACACTCCTAAACCAAAAGTTTTCTCTTGCTTATATATCGCAAAATTTTGCATGTGGGTTACCATGTTTTACACCTAAATCCTTCATTTTATCTAAGTAAACATATTCGTGTCTATCACATTTTATTCGTTATCTCGGAAGATACTTTGGCCTCAGGAGTTTTCTTATCAGACCAATTCTCAAAATTATTTAGAAATAAACATTTCCTTGAAATACGACAACTTGATTTTTTAAATTCTTTTTTACATTTTACTATATTTTTTGCAACGTTTATAACGCAAGGAATATGTTTCTCATCTTCAGGCTACAAAAAATATTAGAGCAAAATTTTAGCTAATCCTGAACTAAATAAAATCTTATTGAAGTTAAAAATTGTTCAAGGAGAGGTAAAAAAATGTAATGAAAAATATGATAAAAATATAATAAAATTGTAGCACTCGATATAAAACATGTGGAGACTCACTATTTAAAAAAACATAAAGATAATTCATAAAATCCAGTGTAAAAGCACCTTCATCACGGCGGTCGCGTGAAGTGGATCAAACGGACATCACCTAATAGAAGAAACAATGGAGTGAGTCACCGTTGCGAGGTAGAAGAAGGGAAGGAAGAGGGACGGAAGGGGCTTCAAAATACCGTTAAATAAAAAGGGCAAAAAACGGACTAATTCACATCGGTTTCCAAAATGCTTCAGATGAAACACTCATTTTTGATATAGCAACAACGGTTATCTTTGTAAATAAATGCTTGTTTTTAAATAATTAAGTGAACTGGTCAGTCAAGAAAACTCCTGTGGTCAAGTTATATTTCATCTCATGCGATCACCTTTCTATACTGTCTTAGGGATTGAGTAAATGTCTTATTATTAGATTCAATATAACATAGCATCCTGCAGTAAATAAAATGGCTCTTTATTTCCGATGTAATAAAGGAAACTCCCAAAAATTAATAAAGTATCATCTTTATTTCTAATTTCGTTTGCGCGCAGAAATTGATAGAAAAATAAATTACGGCCATAAGAGATGTGTCAACGGCTTTGTTACACACAAAGAAGCTATGAAAAATTAAAAAGACACGGAAACACATAAGATTTTCATTGGGAAATACTATAATTATGTTACTCCATCTATTCTCATATTGCACGTACCCGCTGATCTCATACTCAGTGCTTGCAACACGCTGACGATATGTCACAGCAAGACTTCAAACAAGAGCCCGTTCGTATTAAATATTTGATATTCACATGTTGGGTTATTCGACCACAGAATTTTTGATATGTGAAGAACTGTATTGTAATTGAATTTTATTATATTATTGCAGCGTTAGTGAAGACTGGTTTTATTCAAATAATTAATTTATTGCAGTGTTCTATGCGAGCTGTTTTTCTTGTTCTTGAACTGTGTGTATGTTAGAAAACTACTTCGTGTGGGTTTTGTTCGGCAATTTTTTAAAGATGTACATTGTTTAATTTCAATTACAGTGATTTTGTCACTATACACAGAGTTCCACTAACTATACGCCACCCCGATAACTTTTAAACGGTTCACAGTATCGAAATGCAGTATTTGCTCAACATTGGGGAACAATAGGGTACGTAATATGCCGTAGAGATATTGTTTGAAATATGTTTTGTTTTCGAGATATTTAATCATCTTCGATTTTTTAAATGGAACTGTGTATTTTTCTCGCAATAGATAGATCATAAAAGGAGGAATGCAATGGTGTAACATATGTTAATGTGTTGATAGTATTTTGAGTATAATAAAATAATAATTGTACTTTCTGACGTGGTTTTAAATTAAACGTAATATTTCAGGTTCGAATAGCAGCCTTTGCGACTGTCGCCTTAGGGGAAGGTGACTTTCGCAACTTATGCAGGGAGAGGGGAGAGACGCGAACGCCACCTTCACAAAAGCAATTATTTCAAGGGCTTCTGTAGGAAATCCTGTACATTTAATTGAAAACCATTTGTCTGAAAGTATCATTTTATACTCAAAATACTATCAAATCATTAACATATGTTACATCATTGCATCCCTCTTTTTATGATCTATCTATTGCTAGTGAGCAAAAAAATATGGTTATATTTAAAAAGAATCAGAGATGATTAAATTTCTCAAAAATGAAAAATATTTCAAACGATATCTCTATGGCTTGCTATTTGCCCCATAATTCCTCATTATTGAGTGAAAACTGCATTTCGTTAAAGCCAATCGTTTAGAAATTATGGGGGTGGCTCATAGTTGGTGGGAGTTGGGGGTTGTAACCTGTATTTCTACGTTTTATATCGTTAGGTGCATGGTTCGTTTTAGAAAAGTTTCAAATGCTTCGCCAGAAATACTTCGGCATTTCTTAATCTGTTAGATTTCTTGTCTCAAGGAGAACTGTACCTGCAGCAAATATTTGTTCTGTTCATAGTTTCATTGCTATGTGGTGTCCCCTGCTTTTGGACAGACACATTAATCTTCACTTCTCTCATCCTTACGCTTGTGTATATCTCAGAAGACTCTGAGCAATATAATTATTCCTAGAGAGTTTATAGAACATTCTATCGTATAAATATACAAAGTAATAAATTTAGTGTAAAATGTGTTTTTACTATTCAAAAGGTAATACATATGTTTGAATTACTTTCTCGAGTTTTCCAACAGAATGGGGAGAATATGTAGACATCGATAATGACGCGCAACTTGCAAATTAATTAAGCAGCGTTTTGTTCACTTTCGAATTGCTAGGTCATAACTTTGTCCCAAATGAAGCGAGCATTCAGAGCAATAACTAATTTCAATTGATCTTGTTTGTTTACTGTTACACTTACCTAGTGCGTTCTCTTTATCGTGTATTTTAGTACTAGTGTATCCATCACTTCCATAAAATGGATGTTGAAGAGAATAAATGTTTAATCTCATTGATGAATTCCCAGTTACCAGTGTGTAACAAAATTCTTTAATTTCTTGTCGCGTGATTCTCTTATTACAAGGTGTCGGCTGAAGTGGCAGCAAATCGAGTTTAGTATCTAACACGAAAACAAGCCCCTTTTCTTCATTTAGAATTCTGAAATTAAACGTACCACGCGACATGAACTTGTCCAAACACGTAATTCTCTTATCACTTACCTTAACCAACCCTAGTACTTCGAACATAATTAATTATACTACGTGTTACGTAAATTTGAATTATTTTGATTTGACGCATGTTCTACAATTGATAACGAAGATTGAAAGGTGTTATTTTAGAATTGAAATGACTTTCTGATCATTAAGAACCTGCCCTCTGTTCCATTTCCACGGAGTGTTTTCATTTAATCTGTTCCTCTCGCGTAGCAACACTTGCTCCAGTAAAGGGCTTTCTCGGTTGCATCCTATTTCTGTAACCGTATTTTAAGGACCTTCGCCTTCGCCTTCGCCGGTGTACCAAGGGTGCTATTTTATTGCTGGAACCTCCCATCTCCCGACTTCCGCCGCTATATTTAGAGCATTTTGGTTTCGCTTTGCAGCTGCAGATGGAGAAGGAAAAACACAGCTACGACTTCGAGAACGTGCAGTCGCAGCTGGACAAGGCCCTCGGGCAGGCGACAAGGCTGCAGAAGGAACGCGAAGCTGTGCAACTGGAGGCTGACCGCCTGCGCGACAAGTACGAGAAAGCGCAGGTGAGTCCCACACAATCGCAAGGTTTCTTAATCGCAATATTCGTTTGGATGGTCTATCAATAGTGATGGTAGAAATTAGCACATTAATTATCATTTTGAAAAGCATTTTGAAATCAAGGCAATTGCATTATATAGCATCATAAAAATTAACATTCCACCCCAAACTTTGTAGCTTTTGTTTAAAAAAATATTATTAAGGGAGAACTCTTTGAGATAAAGATAATATTTTAATGCTTTCTTGCCCATGAAACGTAGGATATAAGGGAAACTAATTTAATATTTCGATTCCTATGTAGAGAGCAGACACGAAGGAAACCAAAAAATGCAATGTAGCAATTATTTCACAGATGCACGACCATTTCACACAGTGTGTGTGGTATTTTATCGCAGATTGAAAATCTTCAGAAATATACTGCATCGACCGTCAAACATACAATTACTAAATTTTTCAGCCTTTAGTAACATTTGCTAAAATCTACTATCTCTATCTATCAAGTATACACTAGGAATGTTCGGAAAGTAAGAAGTAGTAATAGCTTGGAGAAAGTTACAGCTGTATACTAATCTGACAGGATGTTGCGTATGGTGACGAATGTGACCTGGTGCTCTTTTGGAAAACCATCCTGGACAACTCATGTTTGACTCAAATGATAATGTTGAGCATGAATTGAAAATTTGTTTTCAAGACGGATCCTAATTTTAATTAATGATGATTAATGAATCTCAAGAAATACTGGGATAAATGTAGTTACCAGACGAAAGGCTATGTTGAGAATTATGTATCCAACACTCCAATGTGGTAGTCAATATTCTTGCTATAAAACAGAAATGTATGGGGTTTATATTCTTACTTTCCAACTATTCCTCGTATCATTCAACTTTAAACTGCAAAAGCCTGATTAATTTTGAATTTCACTACATTTTTATACAAATTTACGCAATGAACACATTTGTAAAAGTTTGAATTTTGATTGTAGTAAATAAAATTTCCTATTTGTTTACGAAGAAAGCATAATAAAGATTTCATTGCAGCACATATTCTCTAATAGATCCATTATGTAGCACTGATGCAATCTTAATTACTTCAAAAATTTAAAATGGAAATAAGCTCCATGAATGTGAGTGTCCATCAGTGCAGTGGGAAGACCTAGAGTGGTCTCTCCTAATCTTACCTTTTTGATACATTGTTTCTGAATTCTTTTTACATTGGTCGATGTAATCACATGAACTACCGGAATCGAACCTGGAACACCTGGTTTGAAGGACTATGTCTTTTGATTTTGAAGATGGCTACCTAAAGAACCAGTTTATTTATATAAATGCGAAATACAGTGATGCAAAAAGATGAGTCAGAAGGCAGAAAACAAATTTTTATTTTGCTATTGAACTGTATTTACTACGATTCAATTTTTTAAAATATAAATATATATTTTCATGGAAGTCCTTTGCAGAGGTTTTTCTTATATCTAACATTTAATCATTTACTTTCTCATTACGACATTTTCGTATGAATTTGCCTAAAAAATTATTCTTTAAAATTTCAAATATTTAGTCATTACACTTGCTTTCAAAGGGAAACTGTACTTCTTTGATCATTCTTCATCAAAGTAAGCCCTGCGTAAATTAACATCTTAACAGGTTGATTACTCTCTAATTTTCAGGAAGTATTATATTTGTTATATATTAATAACTAATAGTTAGACAGCTTTACTTTAAGGAAAATATTAAATATTTTTCTTAAAATCATTCCAAATCTCCCTACATAATTGGCCACATTGACCTTTTGATCTTATCTGTAGTTTAGCTTTATTTCATATTATCTCCACTACACCTTAAAAAATACGGAAATCTAGAAGGAAGTTATCATATAAATTTTAGAAAATTTATCAACTCATGCCTTTCTATTTTCAGAGAAATAAGAAATTTGTAATCTAACTTTAATCATAAGGGTTTACTTGATAGATGGAAATCATTACATTGTTCTTTTAGAAACTGTATTAAATCAAACAAAACATTGTTCACATTAATCGTATGAATTTTGATACTGTACTTAGTCTTCTCCATAATTTTTCTAAGGTAAGAACTGCATTCTAGCTTTATTTATTATTGAAATTACTGCCCTTTTATACAAAATTATTCAGAACTCATAACAGCCATAACGATCTTGAATTTGTCATACTGATCTCATTGTATTTGTCATACTGATCTCTTCGTATTTGTCATACTGATCACGTCGTATTTGTCATACTGATCTTGTTGTATTTGTCATACTGATCTTGTTGTATTTGTCATATTGATCTTGTTGTATTGGTCGTAATGATGTTATTGTATTGGTCATAATGATCTTACTGTATGGCCATACTGATTTTATTGCATTGGTATCACTGATCGTATTGAATTCGTCATAGTGATCTTACTCTATCGAGCATACTGGTTTTATAAGCTTAGCTTCCTGCACTGTCCCCCGTTGACCTGGGAAGTGACGTGTGTGCCGGCGGCGCGTGCGTGCGTGCGCAGATGCTGCTGGGGCGCCAGCAGAAGGAGCGCGAGCAGCTGCAGGAGGAGGCGGACAAGCTGCGCGAGCGCCTGGAGCTGCAGGCCGGGCAGGTGGCGAAGGCGCAGCGCGACCGCGACAACATGCAGGCCGAGCTGGACCTCGTCAAGGAGCGCTGGGACAAGACGCAGCAAGTGCACCAGAAGCTGCAGGTGAGGCTCTCCCCTCGGATGGAGGACGCCGACGGCGGCGGCGGCGGCAGCGGTGCCCCGGGGGCGGCTGACGGACCCGAGGCTCGGGGCCGGGAAGATACGCATGATATTTAACCTTGTGACTGTCAAGAATTTTCCCCCCTCGAATACCAACGGGAGTAACAAAGTTACCCCAAGGAAAATAAAATGGAGTAATATTTTTTTACCCCAAATGCCATAATTTGTTTTGGTTAATCGGATTGAATATTAAGCTGAGTTATTGATATATTTTTTACGGATTTTAACACAAATACTTTATTACCTCTTCAAAGGAGAGTCCAAAATAATACTTTCACAAAACCCTGCTGTTTACACTGTCTCAAATCACTTGCCAAAAACACAGTATCTATAGAATTAATGAAGTGGATGTGTGCGACATAATGAGACGACATGCCAAAACTCTGGGTTTCCCAATAAGATGTTATAGGTAGTTAGCTGAGAAACATCTACAAAATATGTCAAAATTGTAAACGAATTAGAAAATCATAAAGAATTAAAAAATGTGCTTTGGGGCAACTGAGTTACCCCCGTCGGTAGTAGAAAGGTTACATCATGTGCTTATTGTGGTTTATGTTACGTGGATACTAGAAATTCTAAGCCATTTTCTGTGGCGTAGCGTGACAAGATCAAATGGATAGACCGCAGTGCCAAAATTGCAAATTTTCAAATGACAAAACCCAAATAAACTTATGTCTTAGTTACGACGTTGACCATTCTCAAAATTTGTCTGTTATTTAATTGTTTTCTATCCCCATAAATTGAAACCCCTGTCGAATTGGATGTCGACTTTCGTCTGTCGACTTTCGTCTGTCGACTTTCGTCTGTCGACTTTCTGTACGCGGCACACGGAAATTTCGTATGAAAAATTAAGTCTAGTGAGACTGATATGGACCTGTCTCCTCTAGGGCTCTTCACTTGGGTTTATACCTTCGATGGCAGGGTGACGACTCAGAACCATTTGTTCTGCCTTTCACTTTCAAAAATGTTAGAATTGGAGAAGAATATGTTCTCTTTTTAATAATTGTATCTCTCACCCATGACCAAATGTTTAATGTATCACCGATCTCAAATTTATCCACATGGCAGATTCTGAATATTATCTAGTGAAAATAATAAGTTTTTTTAGTATTTTGGAAAGAGTTTTAAATTTACGTAATTAAATTATCGTACATAATTACAAGATTATTGAAGAAACTCAACTTAATATTTCTCTATGTCAATCTAAACAAAGTATTTGTGTCTGTACACTGATATTTGAAATATTGAAAATCCCAAGTATTCTAAGACTTTTCAGTAAAATTATCAATTTCTCCTTGAAATTTCTCTGGATGTTTTTCACATACCTCATAACATTCTACTACATACCCATGGGGTAAGTACATGGACCATTGCTTTGGAACCTGTTCTATATACCTTTATTTGGAAGATTACATTAATATTTTTCTTTGGTAGATAGACTGTGCTCCCTCACGCTATGCCACTGGCCTTATTAGTACAGAAAAAAAAATTATTGTTATATATTCACAATAATGTAGTGTGTTCTTGCAAAGATTGCATTGTTCTAATATTCATAATTATTTGTTGTTCTTGTGATGTAATAACTACAAATGTGATTATTATAAAAAGTGCACAAAATTGAATGAATCAACCAAATTCAAATAAATAAAAATCCTTTCAGCACTATTAATGACAAAAAGTAGGGACCAATTTTGGTGTAGTGATTGATGTAAAATCTTTATCTTTGTCGGTTGTTTGTGTAGTTTGATTTGAAATAATTTTGCACATGAGTATTGAAACTGTGTCTTATAAAAAAGAAACATCTTTTTACATGTTTGAAAATTCATATCTACTCTCAAAAATAGATTAAAGAAAAAATGTATTAAAGTACATTCATTCATGTGAATAGAATATTTGAGATGTGAACTGTTTCTGAAAATTATTAAAGTATTTTTTCGAGAAGATTAACTCTAATTAAATAATTAAATACACGGCCTCTTATCTCTTCAAGCCTTCATCCTAGAATGGTAATATGCAATTTTAATCATTTCCTAATAATTCCTGCATTTAAATAACCATTATTACATGTTTCAGAATGATGACTGTACATGAAAATTAGTATCACTTTCTTCTTGATGTAATTGTCATGTATAGTAGGTAAGGTTTCCATGTTTATATTAGAATATTTTATTGGCATGTTTGTTCTCTTTTTCTGTGCACTATTTGAGAAGGATTTTCACTGTTAATTTATATTTTCTATATTACTATATAATATAAGCACAGTTTTAAAAGAAGTGGTTGTTCTTTGATAAGCACAGTAATCACTAACAAACATTTCAGAAGAAACCAAACATTTCTCTCAAGCATATCAAAGAGGTTTTTAAATGGAGGTAATCAATTATTTCTTACATGACTAATTATTAAGTGGACTCAAATCTCTCTTTTTAACTGTGTTATTTATTTAACTACTCGCCATATTACCTTACAATGTCTGCTGTATCTTATTTCTGTTAATTTTTTCTCGTGTTTTAATATTGCGCTTACTTGTTGAAAACTTTTGTAAATGATTTGAAAATCCACATCATATTTGTAATGGATCATGTAACATATAATAAGGGTATGATTGTAACTTAACAAAACATTACTGTCCACTTTTAAATGTGCTTGATTTGATTACTAAAGAGTTCGTAATCTATGTTAGATTAGGAAAGGGTCTAGTTTGAATAATTCATAATAATTTGATTTATAAAGCGGAGATGAATAAGGGAATAAGAATAAAAAAGCACCTACATATCTTCATAAAGGTCTGTAAAAACCGTTCTACTTACTCAAAACTCATAAGTATTCCATTATCAAGGATAATATAAACACTACATCCACGCCCCGACAGGAAACCAGGCCCATTACAACCCGCTCGTGTATTAACACTTGTATAATACTGCACCGGAATTATTTGAATTTCAAGCGCGATCGCCTTGGATGGGTTGGACGAGTGCTAATGCTGCCCACGTGACTTGTCCGCAGATGGAGCGTGACGACGCCATCACAGAGACGGAGATCCTCAAAGACAAACTGGAGAAGGCCAACGTCGCAGCATCGAAAGCCCTGGAAGAACGCGACGCAGCCAACAAGGAGTTCGAGCGGGTGCTCGAGAAATACGACAGGTACGCGAAAGAACTGCTCCGACGGAGGATCTTTTTACTTTTCAAGTTTTCATGATTTCCACCAAACTTTTTATTGAAGTTCTTGTGAGGTTGATGGAAAGAAGACATAATCATCCACAATGAAAAATTTAGGTGTAATTTTACGACGACAGGCCAAATGTATTTTGGGAATTATTTCTTCTTCAATGTATGTTACCTTAAAAATCGAAACGAGCAGATATTAATTACTATAAAAGAGGACATTAGACAAATAAATTAATAAAGTCTAAATAAATCAGTGATAATGAATTATAAATACGTTAGTAACTCAGGCCAACATTTTGGTGTAAGTATTTACAATTCAATATCTTTAATTTATTTAGTTTTTTCTTTGGGTTTATTCTGTGGTTTGTAAGTTCTGTTATAATATTAGCGTCTCTTCGTTTGAAGGTTTATATTGTATATTCACTGAAGATTGGAAAATAATATCCCTAACTTACGTTTGGTGTGCCTTAGTAAAAATATATTCTAATGCTGTATTGTGGATTATTGTCTCTCTCCAATAACCTTTTTTTTTATTAATTCCTATTACTTTGTGTCCGAGGGAGGATAGGCTTCATTCCTTCGAGCACGAAGCAATGCTGCCGTTTGCATTTTGAATTTGATTTTTAAATAATCATCATTGTATTAGGATGGTCATTATTTGCAAGTTTGGATTTTTTCGATTTCCTCTCATTTAAAATACGAAAAAAATGAGGGGTCAAATTTTTAGAGCAATGAAACAATATTAACTCGTCACAAGAATAATTTGAAGATTTTACGATTACTTTTTTTTTAGGAAATAAAAAAAGTGCATGGGTTTTTATGTGCATATGTATTGAAAGTTTCCAAATTGGACTATAATTTAGAATTTTGCCTCAAATAATTGATATTTTAATTTAAAAAAGTACCGTCTAAATTAGGGCAGTACGGCGTTCATACTAGGCAGACGACTAATGGCGCGTTTAGTAATAACGCCATACCACCGTGATTTCGACGGCATTGTTTAATTAATAAATATTGTTTCATGAAAACACCCTTGTAGTGTAGTACAAGGTGAATTCTCTTAATATACATATACACGATTATCTAGGCAGTATTTGTTTCTCCGAAAGAAAAAAAAAACGATTAATGTTGTTTAATCGTTTCGAAAATTTGAACTACTCATTTTTTTATTTTTAAAAGGAATGAGTGAGATTAATCGAAAAAAGAACTTCACCAAAATAACGACCATCCTAATATACATTTTGTTCAAAGAACCCAACAGCAGGTCACTACTACCATTCATTTGTTATAAACGTAGGAGAGGCCAGATCAAAGCGATTCTCTGGGGCAAAATGATCCTTCTCAATTTCTGCCTGGTTTGTGATGGCATCATGCTGAAAATCACTGAACAACTTTGCGGGTCATGTTTGAAATACAGCTGTTTGTTTTAATCACTTTGCATCCCTTTTCACATCTTTAAAGAATAATATATTGTTTCTAGCGTACTACTTCTTGAAGAAAGGTAGGTGTCATGTTTTTGGCATATTAACTAATCCATTTCCATCATCTTCTCCATACGTAATAAATATGCTCATATTCATTACATTAAACGGAGATTTTAATTTAGTATCATCTACCCTGTTCGCACAACGTTAATGACTTCCACTTCGTTGTATTAACCATTCTCTTTCCAACAGGGACAAAACGATCACTTGCAGTGAATATCAAATTTCAAAGGGATCGTTATGCCCCACTGAATTATTTACTAACGCAAAATTAAAAATTCCGTTTCCATTTTGAGGCATTGCAGTAACAATACCTCAGAAATAAGGACATACACAAAACAGAAAAGTAGCGGATGATTTTGCTCCACATACCAGGGCATGAGTGATATTGTTTATACATTAATGCCTCCACTGATTCTGTTCGTATTGTTCACTTAAAAATGTGATTAAAAAAATGTTGCCGAAATATGTGTACAATAATATACGAAAATGTAATTAACGTGTTTACTATTGCATAATTATTATTCAGTGTAACTTAAGGGGATGGTTTTGACTGGTCTCTCCTAATAGGGGCGGATCCAAGAAATGAACTGAGACCTACGTGCCTTTCTCCTTGGACATAGAAACATTTCACTGCCTATTCCCCCTTCATTCTTTCTTTTACGAACTACGTAATATTGTATGATACAAAGTTATTTCTTTTATATTATTTGCATATTGCAACGGATACTTTACAAAATTGCGAATGAGGTTTTTCCAACTTGTTGTCGTAAACGTGCTCTTCCTTTCGGCAATTTCAGGATCCGCTCCTGAATTCATAATCTGCTGATGAATTTACTCATGGAAAAACTTTCCGAAGTATAATTTCCTCTTTTATTGTGATTTTTTTATTTACTCTTAATGTCGCGGAAAATCGCTCATATTACTAATGGCGAAACCAGGTAGTTCATGATAGTGCAAGAACATTGTTTTTGCCCGAAAAAAAGCAACATACTCATGTAAATTAGAGTTAATTTATTGTACAGTAGTAATTTATGAGGTGCGCTACACTTATTATGTCTAAGTAAATTACTTTTTATACGGAAATATATCTAATATTGTTGCATTTAAAGCCCCACTCTCTCTAAACTTGAAGTTTTAAATCCTCTCCTGCATAAACTAGTGATTCGCGTTACGTCAATATCGCAGTAGAAATTTATTCAAAATCGCCAGAAAAAAAGGTGAGTTAAACTTTTCTTGTCGTGACTTTTCCGTGCGGTTGTGTCGACATCAAATCGCATCGTTTTTAGCGTCCACCTCGCTTGGAATTTGCAAGTGTACATGGTCATCAATACTCACGCAACAAATATGCATATCACTTAATTTAATTTCTTCACCTACTTTACTGTAAAAAAACAAACAAACCAAATAGTTCGATTTTAAAAAGTTAAATTTGACAGACGTATACCGGCAATAAAATACAGATAAATAATAGATCTGAGGCAACGTTTTTTTATCTACCCCAACATTGTATTTAAATTCACGAACACAATACATATATGAAATATTAAAGGGAATAATAATATTAACATCTCGAACACTAAAATTTATTTATAGTGCTTTTTAAATCTTTTTATAAAAAATCTCATGTAAAACCTACAATTATATCATTGTCTTACATCAGATAGCGTACTCAAGATAGCCCGTTTTTATTTTTAAATTTGATTTGTGTAAAAAATACTTTATTTTGGGTGTATATAAAACATAATAAAACATATTACAAAAAACATTTAAATAAAGTTTATTATCTCAGAGACAGGCTAGTGTTGGTGAATCACTCTCAAAAAGTTGCTTCCTTATTTTATATATATATAGAGGGTTCATGAGATGGAGGAAAATACAACCTTGTAATTAACAGTCTAGAGTATTTTACATGTCTCATGCAACAACAAGTTTTAATGAAAATATTAATAGCAATTTTATTGATTCAAAGATATGAGTATTTGATGGAAGCATTTCAAATACTCCAGTAATTATTATATGTCACAAATATCTATAGAGTACAAGTGATTATTACTTCAGAAATACTTATAAATTTATTTATATTTTGAGAAAAACACTGCGTTTGAAGCCTTGACCCCTTAGTTTCCATAGTCAATTTTCTGATTTAGTTAAGGAAGTACCCTGTAAAATTTAATAAATAGTTCATCTCGTGGGAAAAGTGTTCAAAGCATCAACAGGCACTACAACGGATGAAAGGATGTCCAATAGAACAAGATATATTAGATAATATTAAAAGTAGTGAAACACAAGTATGAAATGAAATATTCAGTACATGACCTAGAGCTACTGTGCATCACAATTTCACATTATTTTCTGGTTCACATATTACTTTCTAAAATGCAAAAGCCATTTTGCGAAATATTTTATCTTACAAAACTTAAAATTTAAGCAGTAATACATTTATGTACTTAACACTTACAATATTATTTTCATTTTTTCCAATGTTTTTAGTTTATTTTGAATATGATGACTAGTTTACTTTTATGAGTAATTAAGAAATATTGAACACTTTTCAAAAATGGTACAATAACAACTGATAATCTTGACTACATCTATCATTTTTATTATGAAACCGGAAATCGGAATAGTTTTCTTCTTTCTGCTGATATTTATCATCAATATTTTTTCCTCCCCATAGTTTCAGGATTTCATTAATATCACCACTCAAAATATGTAGTTTATTGAGAAGTTGTTTCTATGATATTATTTCTGTAGAATTTGGTGGTTAAATTACATCTTCATATTTTTGGACTTGCTGCATTTCATCATCTAACTTCCCAACTCAGAGTTGGAAAATTTAATTTCTCTTTGGGGAAGTAATGTTTTATGAACTTATCTTGTATAAGTTTTCAATTTACTGTATGAGTAGCAGGTAATCTTAGCACAAGAAAGCACATCTATGAGGGACCAACTCAGGTCAAGATATTGGATTACAAGAAAATGTTATTTATTTTAGTAATATCTTTCATAAGGTGAGTATTTCAAAATATATTAACATAATTAAATGATCTTTCTGAATGTACATACAATTCCTATTGCATACTGAATTATAATAATAGAATGATATTAAAAGTGCCTATCATTTGGGAAGAAAATTGTGGGAATAATGCACAAAGATAAATGCATGACATAATAAAGTTGAATTAAAAACATACCACACTTGCTTTCTTTTGTAATACACACCAAATTACTGTATTAAAAACTATAAACTACTTTTTTTCTGGCTGGAGATATTTCTCAAAATATACTATGTTTCCTGTTTTCAAATATTTTATAAAATCTGAATTTGAATTAGCCACTAACTAGCAAATACTCATGCCCATAATAGTAGCATTATTTCTCTTAGATAAACTTATTTAAAATATCTCAATTATTTATCATTACCTAATACTTTATTGTTATGCTTCTTCAAAGTTCATGGGAGTATTTGGAATTTTTTTAGGTATTTCTAGTTAATATTTGGCCAGTTGAACACATTTCCACAAATAATTAATAATACTATTGTGGTTTAATGGATTTTCACTTTTTCTGAAGTTTTACTTTAGTGATAAGGTACAAAAATATTTATTTTCACTATGTTTGAACTCAAAAAAGTTATTTATTTTATTACCAATTATTTATTTTATTTGAAGGATAAATATTTAATTCAAAGGAAAATATTTATTTTGTTACTTAATATTCTGCATTAGTGTTTCTTTTCTCAGCTTCGCAATGCATACCGCTGTCTCTATGACTAAATCAATGACTAAAATATCAGTATTTTTGAAATATTTTCTTCCAAAAAACCATTATTTTAGAACTTCAGCCCTCTGGTTAATTTTTCAAAAAGCTTTGTAAATGAAACTTAAGTTATAAATGCATTTTCCAAGAAAGCAACGCCTGCATGTTGTTGTCAAACTGTATTTCTATACTAATATTTAGTGCTTTTAAAATTAATTGTTTTAAATAAAAAAGGATATAAAGAAATTGCAAGATATATATTGATTTCAAAGATTTTGTTGGTGATTTGTGAGGTTTCAATGAAGCATTGTAATGCTATGATATCTTAAGAACTATCAAAAATTATTTGGGAAAGAAAAAAAAATCTGACAAAGAAGAAAAAATGTTTCAAGTTCTAACTTTAATATTTTGATAATTAAGAAGTCTTTGAATGTTATTAAAACTAGTATATAATTTTAAAATGCCATTAACATATTTATCATTTTTTTCATTTAAAATTATATCAAATAATCAGTAATATCAAATTAAATTAAAATTAATACAAATTAAACGGCATTTTATAAAACTATAAATGAATATAGTTTTAATGTATTATGTTGTATATTATTATGATTTTCTTCAGATGATTTCCAAAAAAATTACTAAAATAATAAATGTATTAAATTTCTTGTGCATTTATTTGCAATCTTGTACATTCAGATTGAAACAATTTATATTTTTAATATATTTATAATATATATTTAAATATTTTATAATAACTAATGAATCTTCAATCAGCATTGATTGATTGATTGATTGGAGTGTAAAAAACCTTACTCCAAATCCTGACGCACTCAACTCTTACATTAACAGTTTTACTTAATCTCAACACGCAAGTAAGCACTCCTTGAACACGCAGATAATAAATGAGGAGAAAAAGTAGTTGATAATGCAGCATGCCAAAAAATGTCGATCTGTGCTATTTTGCTGAATCCTCGAATGCAGTCTTTTATCATGCGTTTGCAAGCGGCCTCTGGATGTGTATGTATGGTAGTTGGAATGGCAAATTATTTTAAAATATTGATACATTGATATTGCAATATACTGAAAGATCATATTCGCAATTCGGCAAATATTTTCAAAATTATAAAGGTGTTTGAATAGAACGAATTTATTGAAAGGTGTTAGAAATGCCGAAACATAATTAACTGCAAACCGTATGTCTTCAGTGACGCTAAATCTTCGTAAAAATACACTCCCTGTTAATCCACTGCCACACTTTTGAGACGATATAACTAACGCAACATTTCTCTAGACGCGAAGAAACAAAACAAAATCCACGAATACCATTAGTGTCCTACTTTCTTACTTGTACAGTACAGTAGTGTGCAAAATATGAGGGTTAATATCCGGTTGCACATTACCTAATACATCTGTACATACAACGTAGTGCAGTTAGCTTACAGTAGTCTACAATGTGTTAAAATTTTCTCTACAAAGGAAGTACCATGTACGTTTCCTTAATTATGCATGTCATGTTAACACAAAGAAGGTTATATACGAAGTATATTCTTATGAGGAAAACGTTTTCAACAATATATTTTAATGCCATTAGGTGGAGTCGGTTAACCGTTGTCGGTGTGTGTGTACTCCCTCTTAATCAGTCACGTGGTGGCCTGATTAAGAGGGAGTTTTCTTTAAACAAATATTTGTATCTAACACCAGAATCTCTTGAATAAGAGAAAATTTTGAGTGTTCTGTCTTGGATTTGGTTCTTGAGAAATTTTTGTTCTGAACTTGGAATGGATTTTATTGGCTTCCTCTTGATTAGAGGTCGGTAAATGATTTCTGTATATTGCAATATTTTTGTTTGAATATAACAGTTTGAATTTGTGTGTGAGGCGCCGTGTGTGAGGGCCGCTCCTGTGGTTGCGCAGGTCGCAGGGCGAGGTGTACCGTCTGCAGTCGCGGCTGGAGGGCCTGGAGGGCGAGAAGGACCGCCTGGAGCTGGAGGCCGAGAAGGCCGGGCTGCTGGCGGGCAAGGCGCGGGAGGAGACGCGGAAGCTGCAGGACGAGCTGTCGCGCGTCCAGGAGCTGTACGAGCGGGCGGCGCTACAGCTGGGCCGCACCAAGGAGTCCGAGGAGAAGTTCAAGGAGGAGATGGACCGCATGGCGGTGGACCTGGAGATGGTCCGCGAACGCTACGACAAGTCGCAGATCGAGATGCGGCGCGTGCAGGCGGACCGCGAGAAGTTCCAGGGCGACGCCGAGCGGCTGGCGTTCGAGCTGGAGCGCGCGCACGCGCAGTGCGCCAAGACGACGGCCGCCAACGAGAAGGGTCAGGAGGAGATGGCGCGGCTGCAGGTGGAGCTGGAGAAGATGTACGACAAGCACGACAAGGCGCAGGCGGAGTTGCGCAAGGCGCAGGCCGAGGTGGAGCGGCAGCGCGCCGAGTCGGAGGCGCTGCGCGAGGAGGCCGAGCGCTACGCGGCGCGCGTCGGCAAGTACCAGGACTCGCAGGAGCGCGCCAAGGAGGAGGGCGAGCGCCTCAAGCTGGAGGTGGAGCGGCTGCGGGAGCGCCTGGACAAGGCGGCGGCCGAGCTGGACCGGGCGCAGCGCGCCGAGCAGGAGGCGGTGCGGCTGCGCATGGAGCTGGAGCGCGAGCAGGGCATGCGAGGTAAATACCAGTTCGAGCAGGAGAAGGCGTCGCAGGACCAGGCGCGGCTGCAGGGCGAGGTGGAGAAGCTGCGCGAGCGCCTCGACACGTCCCAGCTGGAGCTGCAGCGCGCGCTGGCCGCCGCCGAGCAGCAGGAGGAGCGCTTGCACGAGCTGCAGCTGGAGCTGGAGCTGTCGCGCGCCGACTGCGCCAAACTGGCCGGCGGCAGCGACAAGCAGCACGCGGAGCTGGAGCGGCTGCACATCGACTGCGAGAAGCTGCGCGACCGCCTCGAGCAGTCGCAGGCGCGCTGCGAGGGGCTGGAGAAGGAGGGCGACCGGCTGCGCGCGGAGCTGCGCGCGGCGGGCGCCGCCGCCGCCGCGGCCGACGGCGGCAGGCGAGCGGAGGCGGCGGCGCTGCGCGACCGCCTAGACAGACGCAGACGGAGCTGGCGCGCGCCGAGGCCGAGGCCGGGCGGCTGGCGCGGCGAGCTGGAGAAGTCGCAGCTGCCACTCGGCAATACCAGGAGAACACGGAGGCGGCGCGCTCGAGTTCGAGGCAATGGCCACCGAGCTGAGCCGGCTGCACGAGAAGCTGGAGCGCGCGCAGGGCCGAGCAGCGCAGGCGGCGGACGACGGCAGCGCTGCAAGAGGAGCGCGACGCGGCGCGCGCAGAGGGCGGGCACGCGCGCGACTCGCACGCGCAGTGCGCACGACGCGCGCCGAGGCCGAGGAGCGGCTGCGCGAGGAGCTGGCGCAGGCGCAGCGCGACCGCGACCGCGTCACGAGCCTCATGGAGAAGCGCGAGAAGCAGGCCGAGCGCGCCGAGAAGCAGCTGGCGCAGTTCGAGGCGCAGGTCGGCCAGCTGCAGCTGGAGCGCGACCAGCTCGTGGTGCAGCTGGAGAAGTCGCAGGAGATGCTCATGAACTTCCAGCAAGAGCTGAACCAGAGCGAGGCGGAGCTGGGGCGGCTGCGCGGGGAGCAGCAGCAGAGCCGCGACCAGCTCGCGCAGCAGGCGGAGCAGGAGCGGCTGCGCGCCGAGCGCCTGGAGCGCCAGCTGCGCGACGGCTCCAACAAGGAGAACGCGCGCGCCGAGGCCGCGGAGCGCAACGCGGCCGACACGCAGCGCCGCCTGCAGGCCGTGGAGAAGCAGGCGGCGCAGGCGCAGCAGCAGGCGGCGCAGACGCAGCAACAGCTGCAGCAGGCGCAGCAGCAAGCGCAGCAGGCGCAGCAGCAGCTGCAGCAGGCGCAGCAACAGCTCCAGCACACGCAACAGCAGCTGCAGCAAGCGCAGCAACACGCGCAGCAGCTACAGCAGCAGCTGCAGCAAGCGCAGCAGCACGCGCAGCAGCTGCAGCAGCAGGCGACGCAGCCCGGCGCGCGCGAGGAGGTGTCGCGTCTGCGCAAGGAGCTGGAGACGGCGCGCGCCGACCTCAAGAACGCGTCCGTGGAGCGTGAGCGCTTCCAGGCGCAGCTGGAGATGCTGGTGCAGGAGCTGGAGAAGAACCAGGTGAGTTGGAGGATCGCCCCACGGCCCCCGGCTGCCGTCGCCACCTCCGGAGAACCGCCTCCGCCTCCGCGCCCACCCCCGCCTGGGACCGAGCTCCGGCCTCGCTGCTTTCTCCACTCCCCCATAAATCTTCCACTATCACATGCCCCGTTCTTATCTTTTATTCAGAAACTCTCCCAACTAATAGGGAGCCTACCGTTTGCTCGCAGGCTCCTTTTGTCGTTTACCCGTTTGTTCTCGTAAGCAGGGCTGCAAATCACGCAACCTGAAGGCCCGAATAATATCTAATGAAAATATTGAAAGACTAATGTTCATTCAAGGTTACGCTTTAATATTTTAATCAATAAAAATGTATGTTCTCTAGCAAACGTACTCCGTGCTCCGTAAAGGATGCGTTAGGGATAAAAGAGAAATACTTTGAGAGAGAAATATTTATTAAGTAGCAATATAAAAACATACTCAATTGATTTGTATTGAGAACTAATCAAACGGCATTTTATGTTTATTATGATTGCCACGATTTTTTTATTGTGATCTTAATTGATTCATATAAATAAAAACAGTTCATAATGCTATTAACTTACAATTTTCGTGAATCATAAAGTATTGCTCATAAATCATTTTCTGTATTGTGAGATTGAACAATAAGTAAATAAATAATAAAGTCTTGGTAATATTTTCAGGATATAATTTGACACGAATATAGAAATATAAATTTCAGTAGCGTCTTCTACGTACAACAAATTGTCAATGCGTAGTCGGTTGATTAAAGGGCGAACTCTACTCATCGAACGAAAAAAATATGCATCGTAACACGCAATGCTCGGCACTGTAATCACGCCTTGGTTGATTACGATACCGTCGGCTATTAAACTCACACTCTCGGCTCAAAGAAAGCAACGTTACGGTCCACGACTTGTTGTAATCATCTTTTTAAAATAGTAATTTGCGAGACCTTCATTTAAATATTCCTCACTTATCTTTCACGAAACTTTTTTTTTCTTCTTCTTCTCCTTTCTCTCCGAGCGTTCCTATCTCATATCGCGGTTTTCCTTCTCGCTCATGAATATTGAGCGGCCCCTTGCAATTATGCCCCGTCGTATCTCTCGCTCTGCCCCCTCTGCAGCGCGGCCCGGAGCCCGGTCCAGAAGCCTCGCAGGGTGAATACCCTCGGGTCCCGTTCGGAACGCCAGCTTGCTTGATCGTCGTTTCATTCTAGATGTCATTTTACTTCCTATAGCTGTGCGACCGGTGTATTTTTTATATGCATGCACCCTTACTGTAAATTGAAAAAAACCCACACACATTCACTGCACCACATTAACACAAATTCGCACGAACAGCCTTCTTTTACTCAAGGCGTATTTCTCAAGTGTACAGACATTCACTCGACTAGCTTTTGGTGAAGCACTCGTGTTTCAAAGGTCTGCACGGATTAAAAAAGTAGTTTCTTAAGTCTGTATTTTGATTAGATAGTGTGTAGCTTGATCACAAGTAATAAAATGTAATTAATTTAGATGTCTAAAAAAGTAGTAATTTATGAGAGTGTATTTATTAGAATGGTATATTCGTTTTTCAGTACTCCATTAAAATTCATTGTAGATCATTTACTTATTTTTATTATTTATACACCGCATACTGATATGTGGATGTATACACTTGTGAATTGCAACAATATTGTAGAATGAAATAGAAAACAATAGTTAATATCGATGCAGACGTAAGCTTCGCGGCGCGATTCCATAAATTCTTGGCTTTCCGGGATCGTTGGCTGAGAGGCCGACGTTTCGCCTGAAATGTGGCAGGCTTCCTCAGGGCAGTGATCAGCTTCCTCAGCCCTGAGGAAGCCTGCGACTTCTGAGGCGAATCGTCGGCCTCTCAGTCAACGACGCGGCGTCTCCAGGATAGCCAAGAATTTAATAGTTAATATCTGCCACTTTGAGTGCAGTTCCGAGCAGACCATTTATCATGCACATCCCCACGCTAACAGAACACTCTGCACCACACACAAACATTCGCTCGCACGCACTCGCCCAGCATGTTCGTTGCTTGCCCATGCCTGAAGGTGTCGTAGGCTTCCGTGAGTAGAGTCAGTGAACTCTTGGCTGGTCTGTGGCACCCCCGTTGCAAATGATGTATTTAGTTCTAATGAAATGACTTTATTGTGTACTGTAGATTTGGATGTTCCAAATTATTTAATGTCATGTAATAGATTTGTGGCTATCGTGTAGGGGAGCAGGGAAATAAATCCTAAATATTCAATGTGAAATATGTCGTCCACAATATTAGTATTTTGTACTGTGATAAAATATGGAACATATGTGATATTCTAGCATTTCATTTTCTTTGTAGCATTTTTAAATAGTTAGTTAAAATCATATCATGAGAAGGAACCAGCAACAGTAGATATACAAGGGTTGATTTGTAAGTCATGACAACATTCTGTCCCCCAAACAATTGCTTTAAAAAACGAAATTTTAAAATGTACGATATGAGATGTTTTGAAAACTGAAAGAGAAGAATCTGTAGTAGGAAAAAGGAACACGTGTTTCATTTAGAAAACATTTTATTACCGTTCATTCTGTATAAAACCACTTGAAAAAAGTGTTTAATATAATTTATAGTAATATGCTAGGTTTTTTACGCTTCGCTGTCATCTCTGAGGAATTCCGACTGTTTAAGATACGTCAGTGCATGTCACCTTACACCGAACGTGTTTCGATGTCTTGAGTGCTAGCAATGCGTTCCATAGCTTCTTCATACCAGGGAGATCAAAGTCATAAGGACTAATACCGAGATACAAGGGAGTGTTGTGGGAACATCTCGTGCACGCCTTGTTCGACGCTGTTTGGTTTGTTTTACTTCCTGTACACACGGCTGTCATCAAGTTCCTGCACAACTCCGTCATCAGAGGGAATGTGATGACGTCCGTAAAGTTACTTTGTGCTTCATGCGATGGTAACATAGAAAATCGTTACCTTAATTATTTAACGTGTACGTATTACTATATTTTATTCGTGTTAATGCTATCACAAGTCTAAAAAAGTCAGAAAAAGTTACATATTTTTGCTCTCAAACTAGAATTTGCATTTAAAATTAAGGCATTTTTTTTTCAAAATTCGTCTTTCGCTCAGCACTCCGGCGGGCCTAGTACACCTGCATTTTTGCTTTGAAATTAATAGCAGATATTTGTAAACACTTTTTTCATATGAATCAAATTTCTCGATATTTTATTGCCTGAAATCTAATGAATTACCCGGTATATTAGATTTTAAATGTTGGCAAATTTTCGAAAAATAATAATAGAAATGGATTATGAGTCAACCCTTGTAGTTTGACGGTCTACTAAATCGAGGACGATTTTGTGCATAGTTTTTTTCCTTCTGTGTGTATCGATTGTATTTTACAATAACCTTGTCTTGACATATCGGGTAAAGGAAACGATTAAATGGTGCCTCTAGTGAATTTTGTACATAAAATGTAGCTTTCATCTTCAATTGTTGAGGTATCCTTTAATTGTCAAATTATTAATAATATAATTATCAAATTAAAAATAATGAAAACTTGATGGAAAAATCAGTATTTATTCATCGTCCAAGGTTAATATATGTTGCAACAATGTTGAGAACTATGAGAACTTTTACCTCTCTCTAACTGTAGGATACAGACTTGCCATAAATAAATAAAAACCGGCCTTTGTGCTCTTCTGGCCGGCGGTTGCCTCTTACGCAGCCGAGAGTGAACTGCCCGCCTTCCCGTATCATCGTTGCACTCGATGTGCCCGCCCCACCGTGTTCCATGCCCCGCCCACCGCACCCCGCGCAGTGGGCGCATCCTCCAACGCCTCAGCGCGGGGGCGGCCAGCAAGAGGGTTCCGTGCCCCGGCGCCCCGAAGATGAACGTCGACTGCGCGCGCCGCGCCGAGACGTAGTGTATCTGTAACTGTTTTTGTATCTACTCTCCCCCGTGTAAAACCTGAAGCATGAAAGCAGGCAAGTTTGAGAGGTTAAGAGATTGAGGGAGAATGCGTCTGTCTGGCGTGAGGCTCCATTCCAACGCTTCCAGTGTGGATGGAGCAGCCCTTTCGGTGCGGATGGGCTCCGAGGCTGGACCTCGAGTTTTTGCGTTTGGTTGTTGGCGACAAGTCGCCGCCGGACCCGACCCGGCTGTCCGTTGGCTGCTAAGGCATTAACCTTCGAAATCGTCTGCAGCGTGTGTGTTGAAATGTTGTTCGCTTGACCGACTAGTGCTTCACCACGTTTCTTCTCTTTCTACATAGCGTCCTAGATCTACTGATTGTTTGCGTTTGGTTTTTTTTTTGCATCTGTATGGTAATGTTTTTATTATTTCATTCATAGACGTTTTTGCAGTGTTACCGAGTTTAATGCGTGGTCTACGTCTCAATGTTAGAAAGTACCGTAGCTCTGGTGAGAAAGCGTTGCGTTTTTGACATCTTAGGTCTGTACGTTTTATTTTAGCATGGATTTGAATTTTTTGATATTTGCTCATGATCTTTGGGTACTACTGTTTTAAATGGTAGTTATTTGTTGTAATATGTGTAATTAGCAGTTTTCAAAGCAAAGCTAACCAATGTGTCAATCGTGTTGAGACTAGTGCATATGCCTGCTGCT